AGACACTATACTAGTATAAACACTATAGTGACAATACTAATTACTATAATATATACTACAGACACTATACTATGGCCACTATATTATGAATCCTATATTATGGACACTATACTATGGACCTTATACTATGGACACTATATTATGGACCCTGTACTATGGACCTTATACTATAGACACTATACTATGGACACTATATTATGGACCCTGTACTATGGATCCTATACTATAGACCTTATACTATGGACACTATATTATGGACACTATATTATGGATCCTATACTATAGACCTTATACTATAGACACTATACTATGGACACTATACTTAGTATACTATGGACACTATACCATGAACCCTATATTATGGACACTATACTATGGACACTATATTATGGACACTACACTATAGACACTATATTAAGGAATTTTAATTATTGGGGGAACGAATGACTCACTGCAGCAAGGAGCATATCCGGACAATCGGGGCGGGTCGCGTTGACATGCACGCAGGCCGCTAACTCGAGTCCCAGTCTGACGACTTGGCTCCTCAGCACTGCGTACTCCTCCTCTCCCTCGAACGGATACCTACATGGCGATGGAGAGGGTAGAGTAGAGAGCGCGCGGTAGAGACTCCCCAGCTTCTCAACACTCAGTCACAAATCACTCAGTCTCTCAGTCACAGTCACTCACTCAGGAGTCTCAGTCACTCACTCAGTGTCTCAGTCACTCACTCAGGAGTCTCAGTCACTCACTCAGGAGTCTCAGTCACTCACTCAGGAGTCTCAGTCACTCACTCAGTGTCTCAGTCACTCACTCAGGAGTCTCAGTCACTCACTCAACTGAGTGATCTGACACATGAGCAAACACCGATAAAATTAATTACATTTAATTAAAATCGATTAAAAATAATTAATCACCGAATAAAATTCATCGCAGCCCCGATTTAATCGAAACCTTTCACGAGAGCCGATATTTTGGCGTTCCCACAACCCCCCGCAGCCATCGTGCGCACACGGTGGCGCCCCCTGGCAGCGCGTACCTGTCGAGCCACGACACGAGTGTCTTCACGCCTCCCAGCAGGGAGCTGACCGCTGCGACGACGCGGTTGCAGGGGGCGCCGCCGCTGCCGCCGCTTCCGCGCAGCTCCCCCGCCAGGCTGCGGCACTTGACGGTGACTGAGAGGCAGAGAGTCTGTAGGGTCTCGCGGTCGGACTGGTGGTGCTGAAACGATGACGAGAAGGGAATGTCATGAGGACGAATCATTATCATCATCATCAGCAGCAGCAGCAGCAGCAGCAGCAGCCAGCAGCAGGCATCATACATCATCCGATCAGCAGCAGCGAGCAGCGCAGCCAGTAGCGCAGAGAGCGAGCAGCGCAGCAGCAGCAGCAGCAGCAGCGCACAGGCAGTGCAGCTGCGCGTAGCAGCAGCAGCAGTAGCAGTAGCAGTAGGCAGTAACGAGTAGTAGCAGCAGCAGGCAGCAGCAGCAAGCGAGCAGCGAGCAGCAGCAGCAGCACTCATCTATCATCATCATCATCATCAACAACAACAAAACAATGGCAACGACAACAACAACAATGACAACAACAATAACAACAGCAACAACAATATGAACACTAGAAACAACAACAGAAACAGAAGGAAAAAAAATCAGAATTTTTGCCAGGAATTGCAGGAAATGCATTCTGAGAATTTCTGGCCAGGCGAGCGAACAACTAAACACCGAGAACAGAACGAGTTAGCACTGCAAACCAGTGAGATACAACAAACAAACATCAGTGATAAGGCCTGGAAATTTGAAAATAACTTACAATAACCTATGAACACTAGGCTAACATCATAATATGATAAGGATACAGTGAACTACCAAGTCTATCATGTGATAATTTTACGATGAAATGGTGATGACTATATAGACAATGGCAGGATGACACATGAGTTACTGAAGTGACACATGAGTTACTGACAGTGACACATGAGTTACTGACAGTGACACATGGTTTAGCCTGTCATAGAGACAGGAAGCACTTCCTACAGACCCAGGATTCCACGATATCATCAATGTGTCATTAAAACACAGTGCCACCCTAGACACCTAGTGCACTTACACCTACGTCTTACATGTAATTATCATCGATCAGAATCTATACTTAATTGTTATGTATTTTCTATATTATCTATATATATTATCATCTATACTATTATCTATATTTTCTATATTATTATCTATACTATCATCGATATTTTATCATCTATATTATCATCTATATTGTTATCTATATTTCTATATTATTATCAAATATTATCTATATTTTATCATATATATTATTATCTATATTTATCTATATTTTGACATTCCTGTTGTCATGGTTTCACTAGAAGCCGGCGCACAGGGAATTCCGCTGCGAACTTTGATATCATACTTTGAACTTTGGGAACTTTGAACAGAGCAGCGACTTTGGTCTGTACACTTGGTCTGTGAATTTCATAGCTCAAACACGCTGCTTGACTAACATCAATGCACAGCCCGATGATTCTGCCTTGTTATCACATTATCTTATCTTTGCTGATAATTTAACGATCTAGTAAAACTCTGATGGTATATGTGAATGAAGCGATAAAGAGTCATTATGATAATCCTTGTACTATATAGCTTTAGATGTAGTGGATTGTCTACTTACATCTAACATTTCCACGTATATGTGTATACGAAAATCGACATGTACATTCATATGAAAATGTACATGTACATTTATACGAAAATGTACATGTACATTCATATGAAAATGTACATGTACATTCATATAAATGTACATGTACATTGTTATATACATGTAGATGTATATTTTCATATAAATGTGTACGTACATTTCATATACCTGTACATGTATATTTTCATAATAAATGTGTACGTTTACAATTTTTCACTATAAATTGTGTTTACGTACATTTCAGTATAAATGTGTAGCGTACATTATTCCATATAAATGTGTACGTACCATTTATTCATCATTACAATGTAAAATGTACTGTACAATTGTAGTTATATTACAATGTAATGTTACATTTATATGGACAAAATATTACATGTACAGTGTATATAAACAACAATGTGCGTACAATTTATATGAAAATATACATCATACATGATATATTACAAAGCTTATGTAGCATTTATATGAAAAATACTACATGTACATGTATAATTACAAATGTACATGGTACATTTATATGAAAATATACATATACAGGTATATAAAAATGTACGTACACATTTATATGAAAATGTACATGTACATCAACACTTAGCTCCCTCTGGTTGTTAAAGGGATACTAGACTCCGTAGATTTTACTGCATACAACTGTACCAGTACTGCTTACTGTTAAAAACAAATACGTCTATACCCACACGTACTTGTTACCAGATACCCTAATTTAATTGTTATAATATAATTATAACCATCAACGCTGCGCAAATTTGAACAACGCCATTGACACCCACCGACCGTGCTGCCACCCTGAAAAAGTTGCGCACTTCCAATATATTATTGCATGTTACAGACCGAGGGCTAAATCACAAATGTGCAATTAAGTAATTTTACCTAAAATGTCATCTAAAACCGAAGATGTTCATTTTAGGACAATTTTATCATATTATACTGAAAACTATAATGTCAGCTTTATAAGATACTTACAATCCTTTTGCTTTTAAATTAATAAATAAGAAACCCTCAGGTCATGTTTAGCCGTTGGGCTGAAAGTCGTTCTTTTTGCGCGTCTTTTCAGATCGTGCCGCTTTGAGCTCGGCGGCCACGTCGGTTGTAATCAAACTGTAGTCGGTTAGTTTTAAAACATAAAAAAAAAATTCTAATGGTGATTAAACATCCTGAAAACTTTTTAGTCGTAGCGTATTTTAACGAAGAATAACTGAAAATAACACTAGAACCTAGAAGTAAAGGATCTCTTTAAAGACCTTGACATCAGATCGATTCCTCACATGTGATGCAGCAAGTCAAACAGCCTCGAAGGAATGAGCTCTCTAGTGACATAGACTGGCGCACGCTCAGACTTCTCAAGGGTGGTAGGAGAGTCACAGCAGAAGGCGGCGCCATCTATTGCCCGTTAAGTTTACGAACGCCTTGAACATACGGCTGCAAGTCCTGGATCACTCCTGCAACACGGAGAGGTGTGTATCGTGTAAATTGATGGATCGCATATTGTTCATTATTAGTATGTCGCATTCGCTATTGTGCATCCCCATTGCATATGATTGGCATTGCGTAGTTGTGAATTGCGGTATTTGTGCATTGCGCATTTGTGCTTCATACGGGCGACCGGAGTACATTTAAATTTCCCCCATAACTAGCGGTTGGCGAACATGAGGAAGATTCATAGGCGGCCATGATTCTGGACTTTTATAGGCTTTTTTTAATATAGATATAATGGAATCATTTGACATACGCAGGAATTAAAAATCAGAGGCTTGATGCAGCTTGGCCTTGTATTTATTCTGCACCGTCTATTCATTCGACCAGCTAACTAGCTATAGTACTAATGCACAGTAATCTGTATGAACGGTCGTGACCACGTTTTCTAAAGCAACAAAAATACAATACACCGGACAAACTACTAATTATTATATGACCTACACTATAGTGTGATCATTGGTAATGCAAAGTGCACCCCTCATTCCACACAAAATGACAATAATCAGCAACAAACCGTTCAACTCCACTGCCACTATTTACGATAGTGTAATCACACACCGCCGCACAGAGACAACACATCCGTAAAATCGGATACACTTTATCGGTACGAACGGCTGCGCATGCGTGAGATTTGCTTGCATCCTCTACCAGACCACTTTACCCTGAAGGCTGATTCATGTGGCTTGTCAATTCCCGCATTTACTGGCTTTCCACCACCCAGTAACGACATAAAACAGTACCAGGTCACTGGCAGCAGACGATCCTGCTGGCTTAGTAACACCGCGTTGCGCCTACATAGAGACTAGACAGTAACTACAGGTGTGCCAGAAAATTAACGGCGGAGTCCGGCAGTCACAATACTCCTGAATTTACCTGTACGAACACTTCCCTGATTTGACATATGCAACGAGTCGCTGGTGTCCGGTCCCTCCCGTGTTGACTCCGCTGAAAATTCTGCTATAATAAACTAGGTTCGTTTCCGTGAGCACCGCGCCTCGCCTGAATTACCTGTATTTTTTTCAGCTAATGTCCAAAGAAAATTTGCAGACGATGTTGGCACACTGCGATTGAATCTATAAAAATAAGCACAGTGCGTATATGCTTTAGATTTTCCTACACCCAGTGGAGCCTATATGCCCGGCAGCCGGGTATATCTGACGGCTGCCGGGCACGGTCTTCGAATTTTCTTTAAAATGCCCGGCACGTTTTAATCTTTTAGCGTTTCCGTATCTCAAGTAAAGCAGAGGGTTTAGCCGTTAGGTTAAGGATTAGGGTTAGGGTTAGGGCTTAGCGTTTTAGCGGCTAGATTATGGGTTTTTGTCTAAGGCTTTAGGATTTAGGGTTAGTAGTTGCCGGCTTACAGAAACTAGCGAGGCATTTAGGAAAAACGCAAAGACGCGTGCCCGGCTGGCCGGCCATATAGCCACAGACGATAGATTTTTAACCTACAGCACGCGGGAACTCCTCATTTTGCTGCAGACTCCCTCATTTTGAGCGGTAGTGGAGACCGTTGCACCGTTCCGGTTGCTTCAAAAGTTAATTTCTTACCTGCGTACGTGAGAGACTAGTCTAGAGTGACCGAAGCGCACGTAGCCAACTACCGTACTACTCAGTAGCGTATATAACTTTGTTATAAGTATAAGATCGGTCAAAAGCCTAAGACTAAACGTAGTAAGAACACTGACACTGCACAGTGCACATAGCCCGCACCAGGCTGCCTTGCGACGGGATTGCTCTATACATCCTAACCCTAGCGATCACCGCGTTTCTTGGGCTAACAGTACACAACGATGTGACGGTCACAGTGTCTTAGAAATACACGCGGCTTCCGCTTAGCCATGCACGACCGCTTTCTTCGAACTCGCCCCAGTTCGGGTGATGTTTACCATTATACACTTCCTGGATCTGCTTAATATATCGAAAGTTTGCGCTGTATCTTAAAAAGCTGGGGAAATTACTATTGACTTCTAGGGCTACTACAAAAACATATTAAATGTAATCATAATGTTATCAAATACAAACATTTGTTGACATTCGCCATTAATCGCTTTCGGCCGGAAGCGATGATGCGCGCATCATTGGACCTGTGGTGGGTCACGTGATCGCAGCCAAGCAGACGGATGGATTCTGAGCACTGCCACTGATTCTGAGCATGAGGTTGTTCTTAAAAATGTCAAGGATCATTTATTAGCTGGCAATACCGTAGAAGGTTTTTGAACATGTGCTTCTGCATAATTAGAATTGCCCCTTCTGTAATATTATTATTTTGTGCTTGTCTCCACTAAATAAAAAAATAGAAAGTATAAAAAACAACACCTGATTGATGGCCTGAACTGAATACAGGAACCGCGACAGAATACTGCTGCTAGGTGGCCTAGGTAGGCAGGGCCAGATTTAGGACTGGGCAAGCTGGACAGTTGCCCTGGGGCCTCCACAACCAGTGGCGTAGCCAGGATTTTTTAACAGGGGGGGGCAAAAACAGTGAACTGCACAAAATAGTGGATGACTTAATATTTTAATGGTTCTTCGCTTTCCTCTCTACACCCTATGCTCCCCTGCCTCTCAGCTCTGCAATTTTTGTTTTTGGCGCCATGCAAAAAGGCGACATTTGTGTTCATTGTTCTCTGCTCCCTAGATATGTAACTGTTCAGTGGCAGATCCAGGATTACGAGGAGAAGGGTGAAACACAGGCGGGGGGTATGGGGGTCCTCCCACAGAAATTTTTTAAAATGTAGATCGCAGGAGATGGTATTTGAGGCACTTTTGAGTACATGTACAGCCTTTATTCTGACTACGACAATTCTCTTTTTAGTAGAACAATTCTTATTTTTTTATTTTATTTTTACTTTCCTATACGCCATGGCCCCCTTTGCCCCCCCCCTAACTACGCCACTGCCTCCACATATATTTCATGAAAAAAAATGTAAGGAAAAATGTAGGCTGACTTAATCGAACGACACGCACGTATCAATCAAAACCATATTGCGCGTTTTACGTCATACATGCGAAAGCCATATTGTATTTGTTTGTGAGTGGTAGAAACAGCTAACTGGTTGTTTTCCTGTCATTGCTCAGCACACGTCGGCAGACAAACATCCAAAATATAAGGTCATCCATCTGAAGGTCGATTTTCTTGCTTGCTTATTCAGATTCTTTCTACTTGAAAAAAATCACTTTATGGATGACTGTAGTTTTTAGTATTCAAAGGTAGAGTGGGCATCCACTACTGAAGGCTGCCCAGTGGCCTCCACATGTCTAAATCCGGCCCTGGCTAGGGCACTCTCTAAGAAGGGGGGTACAGGAGGAGACGGGAAACGGGGGCGGGGAGCACGAGGGGAAGGAGTGGGAGTAGGGAGGCCAGTGGGCGGGAGGATTGAGAAAAAGAGAGAGTGAGAGAGAGAGAGAATACTAAGTAGAAAAAAATGAAAGAAATCCATAGCACGAGAAATAAATACATGAGAAAATACATTGTACAGGATAAATACATTTATCACACAATCTGTGCATACACGCGCAGTTCGCGTGCAGAGGGGATATCATTGTTACGTCAAATATGACATCCTCGCGCCATCTATCGGTAGAAATAATTCATGCGCACATTGTATGTTGTGTGTAACCGTAAAATACATTATTAAAGATATTATAATACTCTGAAACGTATTTAACGTCGAGTGGAATTAATATAATTACAGTACCTATACATAACAACATTTACTGGATAAGATTGGTAAAAGTTTGGCCGTAAAATTCCCATCCTACACTTCGATGTATGTATTTCAATATTGGCGTCGGGTCCACCTAGATATGAGGTTGTTCTTAAAAATGTCAAGGATCATTTATTAGCTGGCAATACCGTAGAAGGTTTTTGAACATGTGCTTCTGCATAATTAGAATTGCCCTTTCTGTAATATTATTATTTTGTGCTTGTCTTCACTAAATAAAAAAAATAGAAAGTATAAAAAATAACTCCTGATTGATAGCCTGAACTGAATACAGGAACCGCGTCAGTATACTGCTGCTAGGTGGCCTAGGTAGGCAGGGCCAGATTTAGGACTGGGCAAGCTGGGCAGTTGCCCTGGGGCCTCCACAACCAGTGGCGTAGCCAGGATTTTTTAACAGGGGGGGGCAAAAACAGTAAACTGCGCAAAATAGTGGATGACTTAAAATTACAATGGTTCCTCCGCTTTCCTCTCTACACCCTATGCTCCCCCGCTTCTCAGCTCTGCAATCTTTGTTTTGGGTGCCATGCAAAAAGGCGACATTTGTGTGCGTTGTTCTCTGCTCCCTAGATATGTAACTGTTCAGTGGCAGATCCCGGATTACGAGGAAGTGGGTGAAACACAGGCGGGGGTATGGGGGTCCTCCCCCAGAAAATTTTGAAAATGTATATTGCATGAGATGGTATATGAGGCACTTTTAAGTACATATACAGCCTTCATTCTGACTACGACAATTCTCTTTTTAGTGGAACAATTCTTTTTTCTTTATTTTTTTTTGAACCCCCCTAACTACGCCACTGCCTCCACATATATTTCATGAAAAAAAAATGTAAGGAAAAATGTAGGCTGACCTGATCGAATGACACGCACATATCAATCAAAATCATATTGCGCGCGTTTTACGTCATACATGCACAAGCCATATTGTATTTGTTTGTGAGTGGTAGAAACAGCTAACTGGTTGTTTTCCTGCCATTGCTCAGCACACGTCGGCAGACAAACATCCAAAATATAAGGTCATCCATCTCAACGTCAATTTTCTTGCTTGCTTATTCAGATTCTTTCTACTTGAAGAAAATCACTTTATGGATGACTGTAGTTTTTAGTATTCACAAAGGTAGGGTGGACATCCACTACTGAAGGCTGCCAAGTGGCCTCCACATGTCTAAATCCGGCCCTGGCTAAGTCACTCTTTAGGAGGGGGGGTACAGGAGGGGACGGGAAACGGGGGCGGGGAGCAGGAGGCGAAGGAGTACCAAGTGATTGAGCAATTCAACAGCCTCGAGGATGAGCTCTCTGTGACCTAGACTGGCGACGCTCAGCTTCTCAAGGTCGTAGGAGGTCAGCAGCAGAAGGGCGGCGCCATCTATGCCGTTGTTTACGAACGCCTGAACATACGGCTGAAATCCTGGATCCACTCCTGCAACACGGAGAGGTGTGTATCGTGTATTATGGATCGCATATTGTTCATTATGTATTGTGCATTGCGTATTGTGCATCCCCCATTGCATATTATGCATTGCGTATTGTGAATTGCGTGTTTGTGCATTGCGCATTGTGCTTTACGGCGACCGAGTACATAAATTTCCCCCCATAATAGGGTTGCGAACATGGAACGATCTAGGGGATGATTCTGGATTTATAGGCTTTTTTTAATATTAGTATAATGGAATCATTGACATAGCAGATTAAAAATCAGAACTTGATGAGCCGCCTTGTATTTATTCTCATTGTCTATCGTCATCCAGCTAACTAACTATAGTATAATGCAGTAATCTGTATGAAGGTGTGACCCCCCGTTTCTACAACAAAATACAATACAGCGACAAACCTACAATATATATATGCTACACTATAGTGTGATCCTTGGTATGAAAGTGCAACCCCCTCATCCACAACAAAATACAAAATAGCAACAAACCTTCAACTCACTGCACTATTTCGATTGTAATCAAACACCCGCAAGAGACACACACATCCTAAATCGATACATTTATCGTACGACGTGCGATCCGTGGATGCTTGCATCCTCTCCAGACCACTTTACCTGAGGCTGATTCATGTGTGTCATCCCGTTTACTGGCTTTACACAGTAACGACATAAACAGACACAGGTCACTGGCAGCAGACGATCCTGCTGCTAGTAACACCGTGTTAGCGCCTACACTAGAGACTAGACAGTACTACAGGGTGCGAAATTAACGGGAGTCCGGAGTCAAATACTCCCTGATTTACTGTCAGACTCCCTGATTTGACATATGCAAGAGTCCGTGTGTCGGTGTGACTCCCTGAAAATTCTGCTATACTAACTAGTTCGTTCCGGAGCACGGCCTCGCTGAATTCCTGTATTTTTTCAGCTAATGTCCAAAGAAAATTTGGCAGATGTGCAACTGCATGAATCTTAAAAATAAGCACATGCGTTATTGCTTTAATTTTTAACCTCAGTCCGCGGACTCCTTCATTTTGCTGCGGACTCCCTCTTTTTGAGGGTAGGGAGACCGTTGGACTCCCTTGTTCAAAAGTTAATTTCTACCCCTGGTACTAGAGACTAGTCTAGAGTGACCGAGCCACTAGTCTAGCACTACTACTACTAGTACTAGTAGTATAAGTATAAGACTGTAAAGCTAAAGACTAAAGTAAAGACACTGACACTGTCAGTGTTTTAGAAATACACGCCTTACCGCACAGGCACTTGAAGCATATCAACAGTAAACATACGCCGCCGCCATCGCGCGTACACTGACACATATATATTAAGTGACTTAAGTGACTTAAGTATATTAAGTGACTTAATATATATGTGTCAGTGTACGCGCGATGGCGGCGGCGTATGTTTACTGTTGATATGATTCAAGTGCCTGTGCCTTACCGCTTAGCCATGCCGCCGTTTCTTCGACTCGCCAGTTCTTGATGTTTACCATTATCATTCCTCATCTGTTAATATATCGAAAGTTGCGATAAAAAGCTGGAAATTCTTTGCTTCTAGTGTACTACAACAACATATAATGTAATCATAATGTATCAAATAAACATTTGTTGACATCGCCCATTCGCTTTCCGGCGGAAGCGATGATGGCGCCATCATCTGGACCTGTGGTGGGTCACGTGATCGCAGCCAAGCAGACAGATGGATTCTGTGCACTGCCACTGATTCTGAGCATGAGGGTGTTCTTAAAAATGTCAAGGATCATTTATTAGCTGGCAATACCGTAGAAGGTTTTTGAACATGTGCTTCTGCATAATTAGAATTGCCC